CTCTCTCTCTCTCTCTCTCTCTCACTCACTCTGTCTCTCCCTGGTCAAATTAAAATAAGTAAATAAAGTTAAATAAAATAATTATTTAAAAAAATAAAAAATAAAATAAAAACAAAAACAAACAAACAAAAATCCCAATGTATTATCACTTGTTTATTATTTTTATAATCAAGAGAAAAGTACCATGTAAAGAAAATATGACGTTAAAGTAATGTGCCTTCTAACCGTAATGCTGTGTAATTTTGTGAAATGAGACAGGCCAGTGGTAAGGATAGTAGAGAAGTATTGCGTTAATTGCTTTAGGAAGGGACAGTGTAAGGTTGAGGGAAAAGTGAGGAACAGTCAAGGTGAGCTTCTAGGAGGTGAGGTCCTAATTCCTTTTATCCTTCATCAAGGGGTGACAAGCTGTACTGAACATGATATAACAAGTTCAGGCTTTAGCGCCACAAGCTACCTGTTGACTCTGAGCGTCTGCCTGGGATGATGATGAGAACAAATCATTAGGCTAATGATTTCGGGATGGGTTCTCGGGGAAGGCCAAGGACCACAGCTGTAGCCGGGCAGTGAAAGAGAAACAGACTCCTGGATGGGAGGGAGACTAGACTGTCCATCAACCCCTGGCCTGAGCTTTCTGCTAACAGGCATGACTCGATGGTCCAGGAGCTTATGGGTAAGCACTGGGTGACTGGGTGCAGCATGGTGCCTCCCCTGTCTCCTGCAGGCCTGTCCTCAGAAGCAGGAGGAGACCTCTGCCCCTGCTACTTCTCTGGCTTGTCTGGGGCCTCTCCTGAGGATCTCGGGGTGTCAGAGCGGGCCGCTCCTGCCATGTTCCTAGCCAGAAAGAACTAAGCAGAGGCACATGGGGAGTCCTGGGCCATGGCTGGTATGTCTGTACCCCATCGCAGACTCCTTATCTCTACCGCTGGGGCTGCGGGGAGGGGCCGCTTCTTTCTGGATCTTTATCAGAGGGTGCTGTGGCCATGCCGATTTCAGTCTGGGAAGCACCAACCTGCTTCTTTTATTTTTAAATTGCCATTGGACGTATGCACTAACCGGAGAGAGAGACAGAAAGAGGGAGAAAGCACCCCACTGGGGCATGACCACACCTCAACCCCCTCTCCATTTCTCCATCCTGTCTGGAGTTTGGGCATGCATGCACACATACCCAGCAAGTTTTTCAAGCTTCCAGGTTGGGATTTGAACTGTGGTCAGCCATGTGGAATCTAGCTCCCTTAACCACTAGGCCTCGGGACTGACCCAGCCTGTTTGTTTCATCCTGGCACTGGCACTAGCTGGCTCTGGATGTAGTGTTGGATTCAGGGACAGGAGAAGAGAGGTGGTGCCATGGGCCTCTCAGCTGAGCACCTGACACACAGACGCACCCTACCCAGATTGAGGCTGCTCGTGTCTCCTGAAGAAGGAGATTCTTCTCTGTTTTGGCCGTTTCCTACAGCTGGTGCGCCCCTCCATGGACAGCTGTTTGGGGGTGAGTGCTGGAGCCCCAGATCCCTGGGACATTGGGGCCTGACCCTCCCCCAGCCAGGTCTGAGGGAGGCCTGGAAATATGAGAGGACTTCAAAAAGTTCATGGGAAAATTAAATGAAAGTACAAGTGTATTTGGGTACATAAAAAATGTCCAGATCTGAGCCAGCAGTTGGCATGGTGGTTAAGGTGCTGGATTCCCACATGGCTGACCATGGTTCAAGTCCCAGACCTGGCAACTTGAAAATCATGCTGAATACAAGTGTGTGCATGCCCAAAATCCTGAGAGGAAAATGGAGGAGAAGGGATTGTGGCATGGTCATTCTCTCCTGGGGGTGATTTCTCACTTTCTGTCTCTCTCTAGTGAGTGCACGTGCCCTATGGTAAAAACCTTTAAAAAAAAAAAGGTCCAAATCCATGTAGTTTTGTCATAATAGGTATTTTCCATGAACTTTTACAAGATCCCCTCTACCCCCCCTACACACACACACACTCACACACTCACACACACCCTATTCCATAAGAAACTTCTAGCGTTCTCCTTCCTTCTTACTCTCTGGGTGCTCTTTGATTCTGGGTTGCCAGGTTGGGACTGTGTCAGGGCTGGAGCAGAGGCAGGGTCTGGGGATAGTGATGTTGAGTACCTGCTTTTAGAGCCCAGAGGTGATGGCTCAGCCCCAGGCAGAAGGCAGGAAAAAGGTCCTAGTCCCACACCCCCTCCCCAGGGTATGGGAACTGGGCTCACTGGGGCCAGCAGGGCTGCTTGTAGCAGGGCCTCCCTTCCAAGGCCTTGGGGCTCAGAAGCTAATGTGGAAGTGGTTGAAGCCTTTGGACAGCCTGTGGGAGCCCAGAATAACCCTATTCTTGGGGTGTTGGGGTCCCTGTGCCTTCACCCCACCTGGTGGGAGACTTCAGTGGGCCCTTTGCTCTCCTCATCCTACCCTTTGCCTCCCAGGCCAGGGGGCGTGGGTGGGGACTGCCACAGGCACCACCCCCTGGAGTCCTCATTCATTTCAAAATGCTCCAAGTACCTCTATGGAGGCTCCAGAGAGCTTCAAAACCAGATTTAAAAGGAAAAGCTAGAAAGAACAGATCTTTGTAAAATTATCTGGAGGATCACAAAGTTCTCTGAAAACCCTGCGGCCTCTGATGTTGGTTGCTCTTGATTTCATTTAGCCTGGGCCACCATCCTGCCAAGGTCGTCCTGCACTTGGTGAAAGGCGGCTTCCTCGGCTCCCTAGAGCTGCCGCCATGGGCATGACCTGGTGTAGCGCAGGGCGGGGGTGGCACTGGGTGTGTTTTCCCTTGGGAGCAGCAGAGGAAGTCAGAATTCCCTCTTTTCTGCCACGCTCCCACAGGGTGCGTCCTCTGGGTGCTTCCGCTGAGTCCTTCAGAACGTCACTAGCCAGCACATTACACTCAGCGCTGCACAGCCTGCTGGTCTCAGGCACACCCTGCCCTCCGGCCCACCACAGCGCAGGAACCACCTCACTGTCCTCACTGTCTCCCCAGCACTCAGCTCGGTACCAGAGCAGCGTGTACTTGCGAGACCAGCACGGCCCAGCACTCCCTGCCCATGGCACCCAGAGCCACCTGCTCCTCTGCCTGGTCCTGGCGGCAGTCAGGGCCTCCCTTCCCATGGGGCCTGGCTCAGCTTACCAGATGGAAGGCCCAGTTCTGGGAGTGGTCTCTTGGAGTCAGTGCCTTAGGAATGTGCTCAGGGACTGGGATGGTTTGGGAAGAGGCCAGGGTGCTCCCCCAAAAGGTGGGAGAGCCTTTCCCCCAGGCCATCAAGCTCTCCTCTGCCTTCCCCTTCCTCCCTGCCCTGGGCCTCCTGCCCTCATCCCGCCCCTTGCCAGTTCTGGGGGAGCCAAGCAGCAGTGACCCTGTGGAGGAGCTGGGAGCTGACCAGTGGGCAGGGACGTGGCAGCCCAGCACTGTGTCTGCGGGGCCTTGAGAGTGGAAGGAAGCCACGTCCCTCTGTGCATGGTTTCTGGCACATCTCTGACCCTGGAGTCACCCTGCAGTTCAGCCGAGGGTGCCGTTCAGTGCCGTGAGCTCATTGCCCTGCTCCACCCTGGGTGGCAGACTGACCCTACCCTGGTGTCCTGTTTCTGAGGCACGCCAACTGCGCCCCAGCCAGCTGACCTGTCCCTTCATCACCCAGAGCAGCAGGTACCCAAGGTTGGAAAGGCTTTTTGATGGGAGACCTCTGGGGAGGCTGGGCCTGGGCCAGGTGGGCCCCTGCTCGGCCTAGGCTGTATGGCCAGCCGGCCGTCGTCCCACCCCTGCCCTGGTTCCAGCACCAGACAGTGAGGGCCCTCCCCCAGCAGCTACGACTTCTCTCTCCACTCACGCAGGACCGGCTTCAGTCTTCCTCGGTCCCAGGTCTGCTCTGAGCAGCCACTGGTCATCAGCAGAGGGTTTTCCTCTGGCTGCAGAGACCAGCCTCCTTCTGTAGTCTCCAGCCTTGAGTGGTGCGTGTCGTGTGGGACTCAGGAGGAGGTGGCCAGCATGTCTTTTGTTCCTCCGTTGCTGAGACTGGAGACAGAGTGGGGAGGTGACCCCACAACAGAACCTTAGGTTCTTATCTTGGCACCCTGAAATGTCTGAGTGGTCCCAGCATCTCTGCCAGTGGCCGGCTGGAGTCCTTGGACAAGCCTCATTGATTTCTGAGTGGCGGGTGTTTATGAGGGGCTCTGGGCCAGGGGCTGGGCTATTCGGAGGGCCCCGGAGCTCTTGCCTTCACTGCACTGAGAGTTGGGAGTTGGGTAAGAGGCAGCCTTGGTTTCCCTTGGGACTGTCGATTTCCACTGGTGACATGATAGGTATGACGTGGTGCCACTTGGTACCACTTAAGCGTTGGTTTCCTGGAAAAATAAGAGAAAAATCTCTAACGCCGGAGCCTATGATGTGCCTGGCATCCTCTGAAACACCTCTGGGGCTTCAGTTTCTCAAAGCTGCTCTCCATCTCTGTGAGGGAGAGTGTTTTCTTCCCGGTGTTGTGGGTGAGGAAAAGAGGCTCAGAAGCTAAACCAGGTGTCCGAGGCCTGGCCGGCCGAGGGGCCGTGTCCTTTCCCGCGGATAGCCCTTCAGCTCCGTCTTGATCCTCCAAGCTGGACGACATCTAAAAGCCCGGCTGCAGGGTGGTTCACACGTAGGCAGCTGAGGCCCAGAGAGAGGCGGGCTGGGATGAGACTTGAAACCCAGGGCCCTGTCGTCCCAGTGTGCACAGGCGCCTCCCCCAGGAATTGTCTGGCTCTCCCTGCAGTCCCAGAGCTGAGAATGCCTGCTTTGTGTCGTGCAGTCTCTGCTGATAGGCGGCCTGGGTGCACTGAAAGCTCTGATTGTCACAGCGAGCAGTGGAGGGAGGCTGCTCACACTCCCACCCCCACCCCTGCCCGCCCTGGGCCTTTTGTGCTCCGGATCTCAGGATCTCGGCACAACAGGCGGGCTGTTGATCTAGAAAGCCCAGCGTGACTGGGAGAGGGCAGCATGCCAGTCCTAGATGGGGATGTCCCAGCCAAGCCAGAGGGGACCGTCTGCCGTGGTCCAGAGCAGTGATGGAGAGAGGCCCAGGAAGAGAATCAGGGGACCCAAATTCTAGACCCTGACCAGCCTGCTCTGTGGCCAGGGCAAGTCCCAGCCTCTAGCCTCTGTTTGCTCATCTGTAAAACAGGAGGAAGGAGGGTAGAGAGGGGATGGAGAGGGTAAGGGAAGAATCCAGCTCAGGCCTGCCCCTAGTGGTAGAAAGAGCACAGGGCTATGAAGCAGGACAGCTGAGTCCCAGGACAGCTGAGTCCCAGCACAGGCGTGCAGCCTCAGAGCCTCAAGTCCCAGTGCAGGGCCCAGCTCTCAGGCCTGGGCTGTCAGATCTGTAAGGAAGTGGTGAGTCGCGCCTGCTCGGGCATGGCAGGGGCTCTCAGATGGGCTTGGGAGGCCTGGGAGGGCATGTGGGTGGGGAGGGAGGTCATGGTACTTGCAGGGGTGGGAATGGAAGATACGGACTGCTCTATGAAGGCGGGTGGGCGCTGCCTGGACTCGTGTGCTGGTCTGGAATTCTGGGAAATCTCAGTCAGACTTCGGGGGCGTGTGGTGTTTTTCCTTTGTAATTTCTCCTTGCAAATAGACCATTGGCTTCCTGAATGACAACATCCGAAGAGGAATCGAGAACTACTATGACGATCTGGACTTCAAAAACATCATGGACTTTGTCCAGAAGCAGGTGAGCCAATGACTTAGGTTGGGTGTATCCCGTGTCCCCATTTATGTGCTCAAGTGGGGGTCGGGGTAAGGGGTCGGGTGACTCACCCATTCGCAGAGCAGGTGGCTGGGAAGTGAGGAGGAAACCCACTGAAGATGGGGCACCAGGGCCCTACCTTCTCAACTGACTCAGAATACCCTCGCCCTACGTGTCCCCTCAACTTATCTTGCCATCCCCACCACAAGGGCAGGAGTAGCTGCACGCCACTTTGCAGGGTCCCAGAGTGCCCCTGCTCTAAGGGGCAAGGCACCTCCTTCCTGAGGTAAGCGAGCCCTCCAGGCTAATGCCCTTCCCACTGCCACCAAGTCCTTTCAGCAGCAAGAGGTGAGCTCCCTGCTGGGCCGAGGAAAAAGCTCCTCACTGATTCTAGCTCCCCCTGCACTGGGGCACGGAATAAGACTCCTCTCCCTCCGCAGCACGTCCTTGAGTGTGATGGTGCTCAGGAGGGCTCTGGGACACTGCCCTGTCCTCCCAGGTCTGTCATGTCTACTGGCAGGACAGGAATAGCAATGGTGGGCCAGGCGCCATCTCTGGTGGCTTCTCTGCTCAGTCTCATTAGTCCTGAGTCGCAGAGTCCTCATAGTCCCGTCCTCTTGGTGTCCTTGTGGGGATCACACTGACCTGTGCCTAGAACAGGGCCAGGCCAGTGCCAGGACTCAGGGAGTGTCAGCCGTGGTGGTCATTGTGACACTCTTCCGGACGAGGACAAGAGTCGGAGGGCCACAGCCCACCTATGTTGACAACACTTCTTGAGCCATGACCTTGGGGGCTTCAGCTGGCCTGGCCCCCTGCACTGGCCCTGAGTGGGGACCAGCCTCTCACACACCCAGGGCCCCACAGTGCCGCTCCCTCGGCTCAGACTGTCTCTGGCCTCACAGCAGGTGCAGCGTTAGGAAGGCCTTTTTCTGCCAGGGACGTGCCTGCAGCTCTGGCCAGGAGAGCTGAGTCCTGCTCTGGGAAGAGTGACATGGTTTTATGGAACCAGCCTTCAGCTGGCAGGATCTCACTTCCCCTGGGGTGGGGTAGGGGGTGACTAATGCTCCCTGGGCACCTGCTTGGTGCCAGGGCTTATGCTGAGTGCCTCATGCATGGCCTCTCTCAGTAATCATAGCTCTGCTGTGCAAAACTGCCATCGCTCTTTCTGCTTCACAGAGAAGGCACGGAGGCCCAGAGAGGCTGGTCATCTTGCCTCAGGTCACACAGCTGGGAGTAGTATGTGAGGATTTGATCGCAAAGCACATGTCATTTGAACTGCACCACAGAGAATCGCCTCTAGGCCCCCAAACCTGAGGCCCTAAGGGGTACTGTGGGGACTCCAGAGGGCGCCTGGCTCGTGTCCGCACCAGGAGTTCCTACTGCAGCATTGTCCTTCCAGCTCCCTGCTTGCTCTGGCTGCAAGGCCTGCACAGTCCTTCCAGCCCATGCTGCCCCCACCACATCTCCACCTCACGCCCGCACGCTCCCTCTGTTCCACACAAGCTGGCCTCTGTGCCCACTGCCGAGTGCAAGCCCGGTCTGCACGGGCCCTTGTGTGCTTTGTCTGCTTTTCCTGTTTGTGTTTCAGATGCAATGTCCTCCCCTCAGACCAGCCTTTCCTGGCCTCCCCGCCTGTCTGCTCTGCCCCTCCCATCTCCATATCCAAGGCCCACTGCATGACCTCCCCTGCACTGGGACCCGCTCCCTGTGGACAGGGACCATGTGTCCTCCGGGGCCCAGGACAGTGCCGGCACACACTGCCCCTCAGCAGAGGTGTCAGCTGCTTCCCACAGGAGCTGGCGCTGGCACAGGGGAAGAGAGGCAAGGAGGGCTGAGCCGAGGGAGAGCCAGGGCAGGACAGGGGTGTGTGTGTGCCCCCCTGCTAATCTAATTGAGGACTGACAACCCTGGCGGAGCAGCTCCTGGGGGGGGGGTGGGCTAGATCAGTGGCAGTGCAGGGCATTTCCTAGATGTGGCCTCTGGGACCGTGAAGCACCTGCACTGGGGACACATAGGTGAAGAAGGCGGGGTCCAGGTGTCAGCGCCCCCTCTTTCCTGCCTGTTTCCCCTCAGTTCAAGTGCTGCGGCGGGGAAGACTACCGAGACTGGAGCAAAAACCAGTACCATGACTGCAACGCCCCCGGCCCCCTGGCCTGTGGGGTGCCCTACACCTGCTGCATCAGAAACACGGTAGCCACTGCCCTGGGGCTGGGGTGCGGGGGTCACTGGCCGGTCAAACACCACTCTCACCTTTCTGCCCAGTCGCAAGGTGGGTGGGGAGGCAGGAGGTGGTGAGAGCCAAGGCCTTCCTGAGCCTCCGGGGCTCCTGAGAGGAGGAGCTGGGGAGGGGCCAGGGAAGGGGCCCTATCTTCGCAAAGCCGGCCTTAGTTGGCATCTGTCGGGCACGTGCTGTGTACAGGCCTCTAGGTTCCCTGGTTGTCATGTGTACACGCGTGTCGTACAGCTCACTTTGTCCTTGGGACAGCCCTGTGAGGGAGGTGTTGCTATTGTACCCACTTTACAGATGAGGAGATTGAGGCACCAATGGTTAGGGGTCTCGTCCACTTTGATAGGGCTGGGATACAATGCAGGCCTGCTCAGAGCACTGCAAAAGCCATGAGAGGGACGGGGAGAGGCTTCCAGGCCAGGGGTTTAGCAGGGCTGTGGTGGCTAGAAGCAGAGCAGGCCTGCACTTGGGCCTCTCCAGGGACTTTTGGCCTAGAGGTCCTGGTGATCATTAGCAGCAGGGTGCTTGGAGGGGGCCTGGTGACATAATGCCAGGCTCCACCTCTTCTCAGCATGGACCTCCCAGCTCTGCCCCCTCCTCTGTCACTAGGCATGGTGTCTCATGCAGTCACTGTTTATGAGGGAGAGGCTTCATCCATCCTGGTGTTTGGCTTCTGGGCCGGAGCGAGGTGGAGAGCTTTGCAATTACTCATGTCCCAAGCAGTCATGGAAAGTTTCTCTCCTGCCGTCCCCCCCATCCTGTGCCCGCTCTGTAAATTAAGCAGCAGCTGGAGGGGGCCTAGCCCACAAGGCAGGGAGCCAGCCCCAAATGCACTCACCCTAAAAAAGGCTGGGCCAGAGAGGAGCTTTGTTTGGAAATGTTAGCTGCCATTTTAGGGTAGCTCTCTGGGCAGTGGGAGGGTGGGAGGAGCCCAAGGTTTTCGGAGAGGCCTGTGGGGGAGATCCTGAGCTTTGTCACCCAGGACAGCCCCACCTGAATGTTCAGGTCGGAATGTGGAAGCCCAAAACTTGTATTCACTCATTCATTCATTCATTCAGCAGATATTGGTTGAGGACCTACTATTTGTAGGATCTGCGGTATAAGCAGATGGCAAAGCAAACACAAAAGTCTCTGCCTGCATGGGGACACTTCAGCGGGGACTGACAGCTGAATAAGTGAAAGTATCTCAGAAGGCGATACATGTGAGGGAGAAAAATTAAGCAGAGGCATGGAGCATTGCAACTCCTGATCCTGGGAAGGTGGGTTCTGAGTAAAACCCTGAAGGGAGTGAGGGGGTGAGCGTGCAGTATCTAGGAGGGGGAGAACAGCAAGTGCAAAGGCCCTGGGGTAAGAATTACCCCGGGTGTTTGGGAAATAGCAGAGTGAACATGGGGCGTGTAGGAGGCCAGCAGGGAGGTGGTGGGTGCCCACAGGCCGTGGGCTGCCATGTGATGTGCCTCGAGTGACAGGACATGGCGGGTCTGACATGAGCCCCACCTTGGCTGCTGTGTGGGGCACAGGGAGATGCCGGGAATCAGGTTCGAGACGTGTGTGCAGCAATCCAGGTGTCACTGCTCAGCCTGTCCAGGAAGCCGCCTGGAGATGCTGGGTACTGAGCAGGAAGAGGTGCTTTCAGATCAGCCTCTGCGGAAGGCAGGCGGCGGAGGCAGGCTGGGCAGAGGGACAGGCGGACAGTGATGCAGGGTCCGCGCAGCTTGGCTGGGGGCTTCGGCCACATCCATGGCGACCGTCATGCAGCTGTCCCACATTACGGCAAGGGAGCCAGGCCTTCACGCTGCCACGTTGACCAAGCGCTGTGTGAGTACAGGAAGGGACTTAGCAGCTCTGTTCAGCCAAGGGGTATTAGTCTGGGTTTACTAGACAAACAGAGCCAAGAGGGGAGAGAGAGAGGTACACAGACAGTTAAACTAAAGCAATAGGAGAGACAGACAGACAGGTACGTAGTAGACAGATTTGAAGGAACTGGCTCGTGCCATTACGGAGGCTAGCATGTCTCAGGAGCTGCAGGGTGGGTTAGCGAGGTGTGGGCCCGGGAGAGATGCCGGCGTAGTTCTAGTCGAAAGGCCAGTGAGGCTACAGACCCCGAGAAGCCATTGTTTCAGTTCAACTCCGAAGTAGGCAGGAAGAATTCTCTCTCCTGCTTTCTCGGGGGAGGGATAGCCGTTAGTTCTCCTCAGGCCTTCACTGATGGCATGAGGCCCACCCCATTAGGGAGGGCAGTCTGCTTTACTCAGTCTGTAGGTTCTGATGTTAGTCTCATCCAAAGCACCCTTGCTGAAACACCCAGGAGAATATTTGAGCAAATATCTGGGTACCCTGTGGCCCAGTCTAGTTGACAGATAAAATCAGCAATCCCATGGAGCCGTCACCAGGGTGGGCTGACAGCTCGGAGCTCCTGCTGGGGGCGGGGGCTGGGGGTCTGGCCAGCTCCTTGCAGTGTCCAGTTCACCTAGGCAGGAGAAGGCAGGGCTTAGCCGGGTGGTGGTGGTGGGAGCGGTGGAATGTCTTCACATTCTGGCTTTTGAAAGTCAGCCGGCAGGATTTGTTACCAGATCCGGCGTGGGAGGTAGTGAGAGAAACCACGGATTCCCACGTTGCGGCCTGAGTCACAGGAAAGCCGAGCTGCTGTTGCCTGAGAGGGAAGGATTGCAGGAAGCCAGTGGGAGAGCCAGGAGCCGGCCTAGGGTACCTTCCCTCGTCACCTCCTGTGTTTGATGCAGTTACTTACTGGCGTTCCAGTCTGCCTCTCTACAGTAGATGTCCCTTGAGGGCAGAGCATTCGTTTGGCTGTCCTGTGTGCTGAGTGACTAGGACCGTGGCTGGCATTCGGTAGGAACTCGATGAATGCTCCTAATGTGTGTTCAACGAATGAACGAACAAATGCGGTGGAAAAGGCCCACTCCCAGCGTGCCCTCCTATACCTGCCTCCCAGGGGGTCAGCATCACAGCTGGGAGGGCCACAGAGGCTGACTGGCCAATGCCAAGTGAGTGCTGGGCATTGCTGGGTCTGAGCATGCGGGGAACCATCTAGACCCAGGGAAGTTATTTTGCCCAAATATTTAGAATAACTCGCATGATGTCTGAGGTCCAAGCCCCTCTTGGAGGGAGAGCGGATACCCTTCCTTGCCTTTCTGGGGTTGGGGCTGGAATTGGGAACAGAGTTAAGCTTGCCAGTGTTCTGAGCCCGGCCATGTGCCCAGCCCTGGGGCAGCACCTCACACTTGGTTCATACTCGTGCAGTGGGCTCGCTGATCGTTGCCTATCCACTCATTCACTCACCCCTTTACCAAACATGTGCTGAGCACTCCCAAGTACTGCTCCCCCACAGCCTGCCTGAGGTTGGTCATGAGTAGCAGAGCAGGATCTGCACCCAGGCATGTGCCAGGGGCCACACCAGCCACTCTGCTGCTACTCTCCTGCATCGCTGCCCCTGTGGCAAGTCGCCCCATACCGTGCTTGGGTACACGTACAGGGCGGCTGTCTCACCTCTGTATGACGTGGGGCCCCAGCACTGATGGGAAGCATCCACCAGCCTGCTTAGGGCCTGCCTGGAACGGGGGTTGAGGAGGTCTGGGGCTTGACCACAGCCCTCCCTGCACCCACATTAACCAGCAGCTGGGTGTGGTGGAGAGTAGTCCTCTGAAACACCCTCGGCTGGTGGGGCAGCTGTCTGCAGCGGGAGACAGGGTTTAGGCCTCGCCCTCTGAGGCTTTCCTCCGTAAGAGCCTGTGGAGCAGGAACCGCCCAACTCTGACCTCTAAGCGGCATGTAACTGTGGGAGCAAAGCGGTGCTCTGGGCAGGCACGGCTGGAGCTGGGGAGCCTCGCAGCTGGCTGTCCTCGGGGACTGCTGTGGGGAGAGCTATGGAACTCGCCTTCCCACATTTCCTTACGGGACATCTCTTAGAAGGGGTCATGGGTTAAGACGCAGACTCAAGCTCGACTTCCCAGGCCAGAATTTCAGCTCCATCTATTCTGGACAGCACAGCCCTCGTGCCTCGGCTCTCTCATCTGTAAAATGGGTAGAATGATAGTGTTCTTTAGAGTAAGTGCCACGGTGTTACTATTACACGTTTCCGTTTCAGACAGAAGTCGTCAACACCATGTGCGGCTACAAAACCATCGACAAGGAGGTAATGGTTTGGAGAGCCCTTTTCCCTGGAAATGTTGCTCTTCCTGTCCCACCTCGGGGCGATCAGAGGGCTCCTGGCTCCTGAGAGTGCCTAACATTCCTG